TTGTCTAGAGCTCAATCCCTATCACTCCTATTCATCTAAAGAAGTTGAATCTCAAAGCTAAACGGGTGGGCTAGTGCATTGCCGGCAGTTAAACCTCATACGATCCATCTTGCATGATAGAGTGGGATGGATATATTTCACCTAATAACTCATGATTTCAGGATGGCAGATTTATGGAAACTGTTATACAAGGGTAGCATAAAAATAAATACGTTGATTAAAAATGAAAGAAATTGAAATTTTTATATAATTCTCGTCTTCTTGAACAGGTACATAATAGATGAGAAGCCATGGAACACAGAGTAAGTAATCTGCATATATGCACAATGAAGTTTAATGGTGGCATCAGCCTATGACAAAACCACAGCCCAATACACTCAGCCTTGCGTAGAGACCAAGCAAACCTACAGGACCTATTGATTGAGCCACTATATAGATAAATTTAGATGACGAGGAAATGGATTATAAGTGCCAATACTGCATTTTACTTTTGCTAGGCTCCTTTTGTTACCTAAAAGTGCGGATAGCCAATGATTGACTCTGTACTATGCTATATACAGCACCCGCAATACAATTACAGCTTTTAAGCAATACTACGAACTTACAGGACCAGTGATTCCTTTTATCAATTGTGGCGTGAGGGTTTGGAGAATAGATTGTGCAAGAGATTGAGTAGAAACTTCAGCAACAACTGTCTTCAAAGCTATGCTAGCAATGTCACGATGCTGATCCTTCCCATTTAGCAATTTGTCACATAGTTTACTGGTCATTTCCACCACCCTTACCTCACTCACCTTCCTCACTAACGGAGCAAGACTGCAATTTCAATCAAATTTGAACTAATAAATAAACTATAGCAACACTAATGCTTTATCATTTGTTCTTCATGTGGCAAACTGAATGCACTAGAACATAAGACAAACACATACATACAAATCATTAGCAGAAATAAGAAACGCTATGACTTATTAAATTATGTGATGTAATTTTTTGTATCGGTAGCAATTGGACACGCTTCAGGGAGTTTACAACAACTCTACCATCTCAACCAACTGAAATATACCCCTTGACTGTGATGTAATTCCTATATTGCACGAGCAATAGTTCTGATACTGAACTTTCAAAACCTTGCCATTAAAATATCCATAATTATCCTTTTAAACTCTAGAGCAATGAATGCCCGGCTCAACTTAAACATGAAAAACAAAAGAATACTAGTAATATTTGAAATGTTGTGCATACATTACATATGAGGGGAAGCAAATGAGTGAGCAGAGAGAAAATGCGTACCATTTGACAGCAAGTCCAGAGACATCTCCAGCTGCATCATCAAGCTGTTGTATGATGATGTTTGTCAATTTTACCTCCAGATCAGCATCGGCCTTAAAAGTCGCTTTGCTCAACTCGTTCAGCAAATAAGATGTGGCCATGTATCTGTAATCTTTGTCCTTGCCAGTCATCTGCGCGAAGAAATCGGTCAGCATTCAACATAAACAGCTACAATGCATAAGTACATGAAGATCATAGCATGTATATGCATACCTTTTCGAGTATGCCAGTCAAAGCTAAATTCGCCATGTTTCCGCAGTTTGAATAGAGTGAAATCTCGCTCAGCAATCTGGGAAGTAGCAGAGAAACATAGTTGATAAAAGAATAAGAAACAGAGATGTGCGAAAACCTAGATTGAGAGTGAGGTGAGAAGTGTGAGTAGCAGAGGAATACCTGATTGTTTGGAATTGTAAAATTGTCGAAAGGGGAAATGGTAATGGCGAGAAGAAGCGGAGCGGAAACCCTAGGAAGAAAATGGATCAGAAATTGAAACCGATGCACTTCTTCTTCTTCTCTGCTCTTTTCCGATTGCAAGTGTCTCTTCGCTCCTCATGCCACAGCCTAAAAACTTTCATATCAAACCCTATTCACTTTCACTTATTTTCTACCTACTATTAAATTTTACTATTGTTTTATTTATTTTTAATTATTATTATTGTTAAATTTTACTAGGTAGTTATATTATTATGAAATAATATTGTTATGCAAAAAAAAACTTGTATTATTATACGTATAACAAATTGTTATATTAAACCATTATATTACAATTTTAATAAATCGGTATTTTTAAATGTATAAATTAGTATATTGCAGTTAAGATTGTAATAAATAAATCACTTCAATAGAAAATTTCTTCTTCTTTTTCTTACCCCTCCCGATGTTACTATTTTTTGTAGTCTTATAGTTTGCAGATCTTTTTTTTTAATCACTATCAAGTATATTTTCAAATCTACAATTTTCAAATGAACAAATATTTATGGAGAATAAAAAAAACTTATATTAAAATGACTAAATAAAAATGGAAAGAAAAATTACAAAGATCAAAAGTTAGTAAAAAAAATTAGGAACTAAAACTTAAATACAATTATATTCCAAAAAAAAAGGTGTATTTAACCATGAATATATATACTTTTAAACACCTAAAAGAAGTGTAAATATGTAATGAAAAGTTATATAACGTTAGTTTAAATTACTCACCATCTTTTAAAGCTTAAATAACTTTTACGTACTGTAAGTTGGTTATTTTGTAAAATTACATCCTTAAAAATAGAATTTTAATTGTGAGTGTAAAGTCTTTTTAACATTTAGATTTTATCATCGGAATTCACTAAAATAGTTGTTAAAACATAAATATTACGACTAATTTGTTTAAACTTAAAAGTAAACGGTAATTTTGTTTCAGTTTAATTTTCAATCACTTTTTTTAACATAACAAAGTATTTATTGTGTTATTTTATATATTTGCTTAAAAAGCTAAACTTAACTTATTTTGGTAAGCTGTGTTGAGTAATTTATCCCATAAGTTGTTATAAAAATACATGATGAAGAGATACGTTTAATAGTTGTTTATAGCAACGGTAACTAAACATAAGTAACCGCTGCTTTTTTTTTTTAAGAACTCGCCGACTTTTATTAAAAAGAATACACTTTATTTTTAGGCTTAAGTAACTCGACAAAAGCTATTTTAAAAAATTATTTTGGAACAAGATGAAAAACTCTTACCTTGTATTACTGAGGCATTTTAAAAGAGTGATTACTTTTTTTTAGGTAATTGTGAATTTTTCGTGGGAGCATGTCTTTCTAGGTAAAATATTGTGAAAGATATTGGAAATTTTGAATTTTAGAATTTGGCTGAAGTAATTAAATTGTTTAAAATTTAAAATTTTGTCAAAAAAAAAGTGACAATTTGAAAATCAATACGTAGTTTTTGTCTTTTTAAGAATAAGACTATTTAGTATAACCAAAATTCTACTGAATTTAATTCGACCATGTATATTTAACATACTTAATGTTGTAATTCAACATAAACTCAAATGACTTATAAACTAGTTTGTTTTGTTTTAGTCTCACCTGGACTCAATCTAAGTCAGGTATGTTGATAAAAAAAATAGATATTTTGTTCAAATAAAGAAAAAGTTTTGTAATTCATGGAGAAATGTTGAAGATTTAAAAGACTGTGAATTTAAGACATACGTTAATATATCTTATTTAAAATAATTAAATTAATAAATCAAAAAACATAACCAAAGCAACATCAAAGTTTTAATTTTTTTCATAAAAGCTATGTGATAATTAGTTATCTAATTAGATGAAGTTTTTCAGAAGAAGCTTTATTATAATCAATTGTCATATCACAACCAACAAAATATTTTTTAAGAAAAGTTCGTGTGAAAATTTATTATCGTTTGAGATAATTGGTTATTAGCGATTGCAACTTAATTTTTTAATTTCTTAACCTAATTTTTAAAAGAACAAATATATATTTTAGGTAAACCTAGTTTCTAATAGAACTTTTCTTTTGTTTAGTGTTGTGATGCTAAAAAAATCTTTATGTTTTGAAAATAGGTTTTGTAAGACCTAGTATAGACAGAGAAAAAAATTTCACTAAATGTTTCTTAAGTGATTGAATGTCTAGGAAAAATGTCAATATTTAGTGTGTTCCAAATGAGATGTTATTCATATGTTGTGTTTTCAAGAGAGATGCTTTATAACTTTAATTTTATTATGTGTTATGGTTGTTTATTAGTGATTGATTAATCGCTTATTAGAGAGATTAACAACTTTTTGGATCTCAACTACTCGTGTAATTATCTCTTTCCATATACTCTTTATTTTTCTCTAAATGACAAATTCATTTGAAAAGTCATTTTTTTAAAGACATAATTTTATTACAAAAATAAATTTACCCCCTATTAGTTTTTTGTCTACACATGAATAGTTCGCTCTAAGATTCTAACAAGACCTAGACCCACTTTATCTAACTTAGCTCGCTCGAGCCTACTTAACTCAAATAGTCCCAAATTAACTCAACTTAATTAGACTCGAGTTGACTTAACTTAATTGAGCCCATCCATCTATGTTTGACCTGTGTCTAACCAAACTTAACCTGACCTGACTTAACTTAGTCTTGATCGATATTGTGATTGACTTGATTTTTATTGGAATTGGATTGACCTAAACATATTTTAGTTCAATTGAACATAGTTTAATTCAGTTGAATACGAGTTAGTCTCAACTTAAACAATGTGAATCACCCATCTTGACTCGAATAAATATTGGCTTATATTGACTTAGGTTTTGATTGACTCATTTTAACCTTTAGCTAAACTTAGTATCTTAACTCGATCTAACATTTTTTAACTTGAAAATAATATTGTAAATTTTTGAAAAGTATATCATCAATCAGTATCAATTACAAAACATTATAATATTAATATTTTTAATTTTAACAACTATTTTATATTTAACCATTTTATACGTAGTGATAATTGAACTATTTTATTCAAATAAAAATTTCACTAAATTTAAATTACTGAATAAAATATTATAAAAAATTATAGATCGTATAATAATAAATATTTAAATTTAATATTTTTGACAAAAAAGTAAAGTGGACATTCTGAAATTTATCGGACAGAAGAAGTTATGGGGTGTAAAAAGAAATTCCGTATTTCTTGTATTTCCTGTTAGAGGGGTAAGAGACAGTAACAGAGTTCATCATCGGGTTGTCTATCTGCTGTAGACATGCGATGGACAGCAGCACGGTCTCATTGTTGTCGCCTCTTCCCACTCTTCGTTTTCTTTCATCTGAAAAATTAACTCCTACCTTTTACGTCCTTCCTCCTCACAACCATTTTCTCAAACACTTCTCCTACGCCACTAACCTTAATCGCAACTCCAAATTCAGAACTCCAGAAGCCGTTCTCGATACCTCTCCCATAACCCCAACAGCGCTCACCACTCCCTCTCTCAGAGAATTATGCCAACCTTACGTTCCTCAACATATATTGCAAAGGCAATTTCAAGACCTTTCTCCCTTTTTTCTTTCATTTTTTCCTGCTCTGCTTTGTGCAAAGAATTTGAAGAATATGTTTCAGGATGGAAGAGATTGGATATGTAATGCCCACAGATATCCAGAGGGAAGCTTTGCCTTATCTTTTTTCCGGGCGTGACTGCATTCTTCATGCTCAGGTTATTTATATTTTACATTTTTTTTTATTGTTTACTTGCGTTCTGATCGATGTTCATGTGTAGACTTATTTTCATTTCTTCTTTAGACAGGTTCTGGGAAGACACTCACATACCTGCTTTTGATTCACTCCCTCATTAATGCTGCAAAATCCTCTGTGCAAGCCCTAGTTGTTGTGCCCACCCGGGAACTCGGAATGCAAGTAAGAATGTATTTGAGCTACGATGTCATTATAGTATGTTGCTTATTTTTAGTGCAACATGTCAGGGGTAATAGCCTTGGCAAGGGCCACTACGAATGCTAAAGAATAAACGAATTTCAATTATAAGGTCACCAAGGTCGCCAGGACATTGGCTGCAAAGCCAACTGGAGTTGATGGGGAGCACAAGTCATGTTCCATCATGGCTCTGCTAGATGGAGGAACACTAAAAAGACAGAAGACTTGGTTAAAGGTAGAATCCTTTTGTCTTTTTCTTTAATGAGTTCTATTATATTGTATTTTTAACCAAATACTCTCAGTGACTACCAAATGAATGCCGCTGCAATTTTTGAATTCTACTTAGGATGTCCTCTTTTTTAATCATTTTGGAGATTGTTTGAGAGGTAATGGGTTTTCGTCTTGCTTCTCACACTTTTCTTCCTTCTGATTTGATAGGTTTGATACAGTTTACAAAATAAGGAAAAAAAAAGATAGTTAGTACAGTTGTAATTACATAACTGTAACAGACTATTATAAGTAGTCTTTTTAGGAGGTGAGCAGGGAGTTTTTTTGGAGTGTTTTGAAAAGAGGAGAAGTTAGAAGAGACAGGTCCTCTCGAAAGACCTTGAGTGTTGCACGTGATTGTTCTTGTTCTTACCACATTGGTAGAACTGTTCTTTTCTGTTTCTAACAAGACATCCAAGAATCTGTCTTGGAATTCTCTAGTAAATTCTGGATACCTATCATGATTAAATTTATTGACTCTTCTGTTCAAAATCTAATTATGTTCCTACTGTTGATGCAATTAATTCATTCTCTAATTTCTTACTTAGCTCTGTTCCATTTTTTGGAAGCCACAGATATTCATGGATGCAAAATGCTTTGAATTATAGATATGTAGTGTGAATTATATTTTAGGGTACTGATCATTTTGAATAAAAACATTAAACAGCTTAAGTTAATTGAATTTGTTAAGCAGTTGTGAATTTTAAGAGAGTTCTTTAACGGGAGTGGTTGTTATCGAAACTTGTAGATGTGACAGTCAAAGTGATGATAAGATAACCTATTTTCTTTGCTATACTGAGTATTCTATTGTTTTTGCTGTTTGGCCCAATAATAAAACTGTAAAACCTTGTTAAAGTTATTGAAATAGAGTGCACTCTCTATATGTTTATAATGCCAATGCTTAGCGGATGGGTGTTGACCATTGCAGATTAGACATCAATGACCAATTCCTTGAGTTTTTATGTGTTTTTTTATACGCTTTAGACCTTTATAGAAAAATGGTTTGAATCCCCTAAAGAACCATTTAGTCCTAAATTCTTGTACAGTGTAGTATAGATAATTTTATCTTTTAAATATTATAAATTCTTTCTATTGGAAGTGCTTATTTGTTCTTATGGAAGAGGCTCGTGACTTTTCTTTAAGCTCTGTTTAACTTTTTTCAATAAGCTTCATGGAAAAGCTTATCAAGATAAGCTCTTTTTGCTTATGGATAAACACTTCGATAAAAGCTTATTGAAAGAGCGCTTAATTAAGTTGTTTACTTAAATGTATCTCAAACCTTTACACATGACATGAAAATTATCTACGACTGCTCCTTTTGAACATTGCTTTCATTTACTTTGATTTTTATATTCTCTTAACTGGTCGCTGGAGTCATTAAGTCTTATAGAAAAGACCCTTTTTCCTGCTCTTTTTGCATGTTTAACTTTCTCAGGTTTCAGGCAGAGCCACCAACAATAGTGGTTGCAACAGTTGGGAGTTTATGCCAAATGCTTGAAAGACATACTTTTTCGCTTGAAACTGTGCGTGTGCTGATTGTTGATGAGGCAAGAGTTTTGAATTTCAAATTTAAATCACTTAGTCTTTATACATTTTTAGTAAAATCTAAAAGCAAATTTCCAGATACATTTTGTTTTTGTTATATCTGCATGTTTTAGAAGTAATAAATATGACTGCACAGCACCATCCAACTATAATTGCTTTAAAAAGTTAGTATATCAGGGCTCAGCTAAGTGAAATAAGTTAAAGGTAGTTTGAAAGTGTTTTTAAGCATATTAGATTTTATTATTTCACATTATCATGAATGGAAAGTGGAAAGCAGCATTACACTTTTTAGAAATTACCAATTGTGAAATATGAAAATACAAGACTTGGGATTATATATTGCCAACACCTGTTCTTCTTTCTGCCCCTCAGCAATTTCTTAAATATTTATTTCTTATTATTTTGTATTATTGTCTGCTTAGGTTGACTGTATTTTCAATTCTTCAAAGCAAGTGAGTTCTCTTCGAAAGATTTTGACTTCATATTCATCTTCCAACAACCGTCAGACGGTCTTTGCCAGTGCATCTATACCACAGCATAACCGATTTATTCATGACTCTGTGCAGCAAAAATGGACAAAGGTATGTTGGTCCTATTGTGTGTCTGTCTTTTAGGTACCGTAAACTTTCTCTCTGACTTCTTTATTTGTTTTTCAGAGAGATGTGGTCCATATTCATGTCAGTGCAGTGGAGCCCATGCCATCTCGCCTATATCATAGATTTATAGTAAGAAATATTGTTTATTGAATAAATAAACCTTTTGTATCTCTAATTCTACCATGCAAAAATGTATGCGTCTTTCTCTTTCAATGCTTGGTTAGCATATCTGCCTGTCACCCTTAGATATTGGAAATTTGTATTTAAAATTGTTTAGACTTCAACTTTTTGTTAGTCACTTGTTCATTAAGTACTTTGCTATTAACTAAATTCTTTTGCTACTTCAATTATCAGAGATGTGAAACCAAAAGAAAATTACAAACCCTGTTATCCTTGTTACAATCTGATGCACCTGAGTCTGGCATTATATTTGTTGCTGAGCAGGTATGCTAAGAACTTTCTTCTCCTCCTTCAATTAGATTATGCAATAAAAATTTTGCATCAATGAGATTATGCAATAACAATTTTGCATCAATGAGATTATGCAATCAGTAGGTACCGATCTGGGAGTAGAGGAAGTTTACTTTAAATTTTAAACATTTAACGTTAATATATGCCTTACTTTCCTTTACAAATTTTCGGTATTCCCACGCATGAGAAACAGTATAAATTGTATAATTATCATTCCCTGATAAAATACTTTCCCATGTTGTTTGCTATTATCTGCTGGTACTGTTGGATTAGTAATTGCCTTTTTTTTTTTACCAGTTTTGCATGTGTTAACCATTTGACATTTATATTCTAGTAGTTGTTATTGTCATTAGTGCTTGAGCTGTTGAACAGTTTCTCAGATCAAGATCCTCTAGATTGCAAGGTTCGCTTTAGAGAGTAATTGCATTGTTGATGATCATTGATTCAAATCTTGTTTAGTTTTGACAAAATACGAGCACCTGGGTGACAAACTATAGATTTAGTATAACTATGGTTTTCCCATGAGGTCCTTTCTTCTGTTATGATAATTTCCCTGTAACCCTGCTTAAAGTTCATATTTATAGGACTTGGTTATCTATTGATCATTACTTAACAGTTAGTGCCCTTCAAATGATTAGCCCATATATCTACATTTAATATCTGTTAGACTTAGTCATGTGTTATGTGAAATATATCGACTAAATATTACATATTCTGTTATAAAGTCTGAGAAGTCCAAAAAGGCTGGAAAGGCTCCATCAACGTCCCTTCTGATTGACTTTTTGAAGACATCATACCAAGGTGATTTGGATGTCCTCCTCCTTGAAGACAAAATGAATTTCAATTCACGAGCAGCTTCACTGCTTGTAAGTGCCATTCAGTGGATTGATATTGATATGAGTATTTTTTGGTAATCCCCTAGTCATCTGTTCCCTGTGCATTTTTTACCACTGTATTCTGCATCTCAATTCATTTTAACAGTCATCCTTCAGTCTAAATTGCAGCTGGTTTCGAAATAAGTTTGGATTATAATTTATAGTTAATTTTTAATAAAACCTTGGCAAGAATAGTAGCAACACATTCTCCTTTCCTATTGGATGAATATCATGTGGGTCTTGCTCTGTGACTCTCATTCTCCATTTGGTGGATCCTACTCCCAAACTAGTGGACGCACATAATTACAATTAATAGGAAATAGTGTGTTGAAAAGTGTTAAAAGGTGTGTTGGTAGCACTCTTCAGCCTTGAATCCTTGACATTATTTCCTTGCCCTTGGCAAATAAATCAGTCAACCAAAATTTAAGGGAACTCCGATGGGTATTGGCTGGGGATGATGACATTGACTACAGGTGGGGAAAATTTAGTTCAAGAGTCACCCCAGTCGTTTGCCTAAAACTTACTAGATTTCGAATTCTTAGTTTGACTTCTATTTAAGCCTTGTTCTTTAGCCTCTCGGAGGTGGTAGCATTAAAATGTGTATTTTGTGAATAAATGACAAGTTAAAATTGAATGGGGAAATGGTTGGTAACAGCAGTATGTTGTTTCTTTGATTCAGGAGGTTAGAAAAGGAGGTGGATATCTTCTTGTAGCAACAGATATAGCTGCTAGGGGGGTTGACCTTCCAGAAATGTCTCACATTTACAACTTTGATCTGCCAAGGACTGCAGTTGATTATCTTCATCGAGCAGGCCGAACATGTAGGAAGCCTTTTTCTGACATCAATTGTACTGTTACCAGCATTATTGTTCCAGATGAGCGATTTGTTCTGCAGAGATATGAAAATGAGTTGATGTTTGACTGTGAAGAACTTATTATTCCATAAACCTTGGCTGAAGTTTCATATTTTAATCTGATCGACAATAAATATGTTGTGCTTCAAATTGATTGTACTTTCATAGTTAACTCGCATTTAGAAACGTTTTATATTCTGGAATCATGTGGGTACCTATAGAATATTACAATAAGAAGCTACTGAAGATAAGAAAAAATTCCGGACTCTGCCCATAACGAATGAATTTGTGGAATTCCAGCTGTACTCTGCAGGATAGAATTAAAATCTAGTAAAGATATTTTTGAAAGTTTTTTTTTTTTTGGTGTGGATATGTTGGAAGTGAGATGTTCGAAGGAAGAACGGAGGATAGTTTATTTTTATGCAATTTTGAAAAATAATATTAGAAAAAAAACATTAAGGGTACATTAAAATAAGTAATTTGACTAAACACTTGATTATTTTTATTAGGTCAAAACTTTTATAATCTTATTTTGAAATAATTAAAAAAAAATATTTCATCATCTTTTGTATTGTAAAAGTTATTTAAATAATATAAAAATAACAGAAGTGGAAATTGAAATTAACTTTTTCCCTAAGGCTACCTAAATAAGATGACTTAGACTTATCAAATTTTGAGTAATTTTTCAATTTTCAATTTGATAGTTCAAGATGATAGCTAGTAGTAGTCCTTTCCTCTTGAGCTGGTTCATCTGGATTGAAAGATGAATTGGACTGTGAAAGATAAGCATCTAAATAGGCGCATGGTTCTAGACATTTTTTATTCGCATCCCCATATTTTACCTGTGTATCTCCATTGGGGGTGGTTAAAAGATTAAACTGCCCCGGGCCACCGTTTCCCTTGCCGTCGTTACCTCCTTGCCGTCGTCGTCGCTGTTCCCTTGCCATCGCTGCTCCATGTCTCGTTGCCGCCCTTGTCTATTTGTTGTGTTAAGGAATACTGACTATCACGAATGGCTGCTTCTAACATGGCTACAATGCAAACTACCACTGAAAAGGTGAACTTTTAAATTCTATACTCATTCCTCATCATCATTTAACTCATTTCATTATTTTTCATACTTCGACTCTTATTCCAAAAAAATCAATGACTTTCCGAATTAAAGAGCCCGATCTAGAAAAGTTCAGTGCAACCGTGTATGTAGTTATTATATATAAGTACATTCTCATAAAAGTTGTCCAGATATGAGATGTGAATTTATCTCTATCATTTCGACAGCACATTGATATTTAATTTTTAAATGTTTTTTATTTCAAAATTATTATTCATAAAAATTAAAACATTCCCATCCTCAAATTCTTTGTAAACCGGGGCAAACAAACCGCGGGCGAATTTATTATATGACGAGTCCATCTTCAATGACTGAGTTTTTCAATACAATGGTAATCCCAGAACGGATGTAAAACCCTTCTGAAGATCTATCAGCCTCTTGTATGCCCTGTAAGTCATTAAAGGCAGATTTAGTACACTTTTCAGCATATAAAATATTTGTGGTATCTAAATGATTTTATTTATAGTTTAAATTGTGAATTTTCATGGTGTTTCCGTTAAAAGGAAAATGTTTGTCTCACTTATTTTGGGGGTTGTAAGAGAAAATTCAAGCGAGGCTAATTAGTTCTTATACAGTGATTTAGTGAATTGACAAAAAGTTTTAGGAGTATCATAACCCCAAATAAAGTTGGTTATCAATTGGTATGTGTATCACTCAGTCTTCTCGTAATGCTATACATATTTAGAGTAGTGTCAAGAGCATACCTCTGAATTTGCTATTACGACATTCTTTCCTATTCTAGCATTTTTGTCAATGATACAGTTCCTGCAGAAATGTGAGAAGTGAGTAAAGCGTGAGGAAGTAATGGTTAAGATAGTGAGCATTATAATGCATACTTGATTTTGGTATTTTCTCCTATTCCTATCGGAACCCTTCCTTCAGCTAAGAGTTCTGCCACTTCTGCATCGGTTTCATAGAAATCAGCACCAAGCATCACCGTATCCTGTAATGCACCAGAAGTTATTGAACTAGATGATCGCACAGCTTAGACAAATACCAAATTTATGTTCTACCATAAATACTATTCTTCTATAATTGTTTAAAAGGCATGGTTAGATGGTCGAATTGGAGCACCAAACCTTTAGATGAACATTTGAGTTTATTCTGGATCTGATTCCAACAACACTGTGCTCTATCAAGGTATTATTCAAGAAGCTTCCATGTGATATGATTGAATCAACAATCTGCACGAAAGGACAAATAACAACGATGTGGTTGAGATTCAAAAGCAGAATAGAGGTGGTTTTCTGATGTGCGATGGGGATACAACAGGTAAGTAAAAAAATGGTTGAACATCTAAACACATTAATTCCTCCATATTTGTAGGTACAGCATTCTGCATGTGATAATATAGGCATGCAACAGTATGTTAAATAAATTGTTTTTGCTGTATGCCTAACAAATTATGTTCACTCTTCTCCGTGCAGTAAGGCTTTGGTACGACTAGTTTGAATTACCAACAAAATTCCTCACGAGCAATTTTGAAGAACTGACCTTGCTATTGTCAATCTTTGATGGTGGTAAGTTTCTCCTGGATGTATACATTGGTTTTGCTGCATCGTAAAAGCTAAACCTGGGTGGCTGAAAAATTACAGAAGTAAGCTTTCCTGGGCAAGAAAGATTTTGGATCTCAATCATTGAACAAGGAAAATAATTCTATGAAATTAATTTGAAAAGGATGAAATGAAAAAAATGTTCGTAGTTAACTTTTTAATTTAACAATTCAATTCATTTCTTATGTTCACCTCTAGCATATCCCACTAATAAGTAATAAACTCAACACATTCAAGTCATTGAAGCTCAACAAGGTGATTTGACACTCACATGCTCAGTGAGGGCAAGATTTGCCTCAAAGAATGATCTGATGGTCCCTATGTCTTCCCAATAATCATTGAAGAGATAAGCCTGCACACAGAGATTGTCATACCATAGGTAAATAATAAACAGAAAAGATTCCTATGCAACTATTTTATCAGTCATACCTTCATATAATATTCTCTAGCTGAGGCAGGAATAACCTCTGATCCAAAGTCGTTTGCAGTAGGAAAGCGCCATCTAAATTAAAGTAATTTGTAGCACTTAACAATCAAGCTTTGCAACAAGATAAATTTATTCTCAGTGCATATTTCTGTATTTTTGTAGAATATATTAATAGATGAAGTGAACCACAGGAAAAAGCCTAACATTTAGCCAGATATTAGTCAGTACCTTAGTAGATTAAGAAGAATTTCCTTCTTGAAGACGTACACTCCCATGGAAGCAATGTATGGTTTCTTTTGAGCCTCATCCTTCGAAAGGCCCAAAACGGTTGTATCTACTTGCTAAATTATAAGGCAGTACGTATTAGCAGTGGTTCTAACTGTTGAAACTTTTCGGGAGTGTTATTAGTATAATAAACATAAAGGGTACCATTGCTTTCAACTCTTCTCCTTTAGGCTTTTCACTAAATGAAAGGATCCTTCCTTTGTTGTCTATCTTCATCAGACCAAAATCTGAGGCACGGCTGTCATGGTTGCACAAAAGAGTTCAGAACACTTAACATATGATAAATATCATTAAGCTTACATATTGATAGAAATTATTGATCCAGCTACTCTTTGGGGTTAATTTTTCCTTGTGGGTTTTAGTCGTAACAATGCTAAAGAAAAAAAAAATGCTAGTTTCTAATTCGGATTTAGCTAGCGTACATTGATTGACTTTAATGTCTCATTCATTATATTAGAAAACTCATAAGAATATTTCAATCTGTAGATGGTGGTGATCGTGCATATTAAAGCATATGGGGCATTTTGTTGGTGGTATTTCAGAGGTGACGTTGATGCCCAATACTCAAGGAACTCACTTTCTATCTAACTTTGCAGAAAATCCTGAACTCCACAAGATAATTTGGAACTGAATTACTATTTTCTCTTTCTTTTATTATGGATTACATTTAAAAACATTTTAAAGCCATCCTTTATGAAATAAATGTCAATGTTCTATATGAAATAAATGTCAATGCTGTTTACTCTAGGAGCTTGTTTCAGCCATTAAAAAACTTTCTTTAGTTTATAAATCTTCTCTTCTTGGCCTTCAGTCCAAAGCTTTGAGGTTGCTCAAACCTCTTCTTTCAATTCACCGATCAAAAAACCCTGCCTTATCCAATTTGAAATAATTTCCACCCTTTTTGAGTTGCAGGGGAAATTAAAGCTCTACCATGTAAACACATCACAGGATCAAAAGTCTCTTCAAAATCAACACTGGATTGTTGTGAAAAGGTCTGGTTTTATTTTTTTATAGAGTCATCTAGGTTATGTTTTACTTTATTTACTCATTTCACACCAATAGTTTTTGATACTTAACAACTCCCATGTAATGCTCTTTTCAATTATACCAATTTCCTTTTGCATGACCTAACTCCAACCGTTTTCTTTAATTGACTCTTAAAAGTTTTATGGTTCCGCAATAATTACACCTTTGTGTATTCGGAGTGAATTCCTCATTTATTAGGTGTTGAATTTTGCTACAAAAATAGTTGTTGAATTTGTTTTCTCTTCTACCCTTTCCTGTCAATTCCAAAATTTCTTCTCATCAAATAAGACGTTCAACTAATGATTAAATTTTTCTTTAATTTGATACAAAAGTGTAACAACAAATAAACATGCAACTCAAAATTCGCTCTTCAAGCTTTGTTCTCTTTGAGAACTTCAGCATAAATTTTTTAAGAAGGTTCATCGAAGACTCAACCATGTAAATTCAACTTGATAAGATGAGATTTTCACTTGTTCATATATTATTGATTGACTATATATCTAGTCAATATAAGATTTTTAACATCTTCATGCTGAGGAGAGGACTTCTTCCAAATGTGACACGTCTTGGAGACACTAATATTTGTTGACTGATTCATCTTTTGAGATGATACCATGAGTTTGGATTAAAACACAATTTCAAACAATTTCTGAACGCAAGGTAACTGTCTTTACTTACAAGATCTATAAGCGATTCCATCAACCTTAAATAGTTATGGTTGACAACTCTGTTCACTCAAAAAAATAATTTTTTTATTAATAATTCTTTTATCAATTGTATGACTTCTTTTGATTCTTTCATCAATTTTTCTGTGTTTTTCCAGTTGCCAATATAAAGAATCACATTAATACTACTAACTTTCAATAAGAATTCATTGTCCACCAAACCCTTATGACAGCCTATTAATCTATGTTGAAATAATTGGAAAGTTATAATGTGTGATGCAAGCAACCTACCTGTCGTCCATTGGCAGACAAGAAAGAGTGATATCTGCACCACTCTCACGGTGATTCTGCATATGAAAATGAATCCAAACATCTGAGACAATAATTTGATTGCATCAACTGAATTGAAAGGGGGAAGAATTATTTGATTTTATGGCACAGCGCCTTACTTTAACGAAGTCCATATAATCCATTCGATAGAGGTGATCCCCAGAAAGAATCAACACATCCTCGATGCCCTTGCTTCTTGGATCCTACAATAACCAAGTATATTCACACTGAACTCCCAAACAAGTAAAATCTATATATATAAACGTTGCAGTTACATCAATGAGTGTAACTTAATACCTCAAAGAGCCAGTGGAACTGCCGCACAGCATCAGCAGTACCTTGAAACCACTTTTTACCTGCCTCCCCTGGGGTTTGGGTTGCTGCAAGAACCTGAAAGAGAACGTTGAAATATAGAGTTTAATTTCACAAAATCGACTTTAACAACTTCACCAAATCTATTTATAAAACGAGATTTGCGTTGATTTATATATTATAAATTTACTGTGAGAGTTCCAAGATACTTACTGTTTAATAATTTTCTTTTTTTATAAGATCATTAAGAACTTAAGCATGATTGACGTAAATTGCAAGCAAGTAAAAGATGGAAGATGACGGGAGATACCTCGACGTAGCCATCTCCAAAGGTGACTCCACTACCAGAGTTGTAAGCACGTGCAATGTGCCTGTTGAGTGAGGCTGAGTTAAACTGAGTGAGAATGTACACCTTGTTTATACCACTGTTGATGCAGTTACTCATTGGCACATCAATCAGCCTGTAAGCACCTCCAATAGGAACCTACCATAGCAAACTCCTCAGCTATAAATTTATATGTAACAGTACCATTTTGATTTGATATCCCATTGGTCGCATTTTTCATTTTCTTATTGCCTAAGTGTTAAAAAAGTAAGCACTAGTTAGAGAAAAATTTCTGCTCAAACAAGCAAAATTTTTAGTTAACCAAGTTGTATGCATGCACCATTATGTTCATAGTTTATAGAATAACTATAAAAATGGTAAAGTAAGAGAATAAACTTACAGCAGGCTTGGCTCGTCGCTTAGTGAGAGGGAAGAGACGGGTTCCAGCTCCTCCACCAAGTATAACTGCCAACACTGTTCTTGCGTTTCTTCTTTCCATTTCTAAGTCTCTCAACTGCACTTCCCCATTCATCTTGTTCAAAACTGAATAATGCTATATATGTTGCATACACTAACTCTCACAGATCACGCATAACCCACATGGCAGCCTTAAAATTGAAGTCCTTTTGCACACTTCAAATATTTGTTTGTGAATTCGTACGGATTCACATTAATACTTGTTACAAAATTTGAACATCAGAACACTTGAAAACTTAATGTATGATTAAGTAACAAATTTCTTATTTTTCAAGTGAAGTAAGCAACAAATTATAGTCAGTATCTAAATAGATTTAATTTAAAATGATTGTCATTGGTTTTATATCCATTAAATAAATAAAAAATGAAAAGGGACAGAAAAATGAGTCCCGTTACGTATCCAACCATTGCAGCATGCATGGGCCAATATATACTGAAAAACTACAATCCTAGGCAAGAAAGTTTAGTGGCAGTCAAGCTATTTTCCTAACACTCTTGTATTCCTTCTACCTTAACAAGATTCTAAATTTTGTTGACATGTTTGAACTAGTTTGTTTGAAGAAAATGATATGAAACAAAATCAGAAGTATTTGAGTGAATTATAGAATTTGTGGGAGTAAGGTAAACCTTGGATTCAGGGGATAATAGGTCAGTTGTGAGAGACATGCATATATGGTGTTGAGGCTTGACATTCTTAGAGCAAGCAGTTGTGGGAGAAGCAGTTTTTAAGTGAAGCTTACGTCCCATGAGTTCCCCATTGCAAAACTTGACAAGCTTCCAGTTCCGACCACACCCCATTCCATGCAGCTGCACTGTTGAGGACACCGTTATCTGGCCGCCGGCAGAGGCTGCCATTTTTCCGGGGAGAAAATGGGAATTTACGTAGTTGGTAATTCAAGGTTGTCTTGTGTGTGTATTTATGTCGTAGAGAAGAAGCAGAGAGAGCAACCATTAATGTGTGTGGAGATTTGGTTACATGCATATCCGGGTATTTTGAAGGATTGGGCCACGTTATCCAAATTCAACAGCATCCACCAGTTTAGTTTGTGTTTGTTACTGTTATTACAAAATAAGTGCACATGTCCAATGACACTTTAGACCTTACATTTTGTTTGCCATCACCAAACCAATTGACGAATATTCCATGCTCATTCGCAATACCTCTTTTCTCACGAATTATTCCTTGTGCTATACTCTCCTCCACCAGTTTATGTTGGAAATATAAGTTTATGTTTATATTCTATATTTTGAAAAAGTTGAATTAGAAGTTATGTATTTAAATCTCTTATGTAAGTTAGATTATATCTGTTTAGTATTATGTCTGTCGACAAATTCTTAAAAAAATCATTAAAAATATTGCAGGTTGGTGACTTGGCTTGAAATGATTCGGCTTTCGACTTAAACTTTGGTTTTCAGTCGGAAAAACTGGTTTATGTCAGCATCTTGTGGTATGTCCGTGTGGTTCAGGTAAATTATGGAACATGTTTCTCACTATAGAAATTATAACTCAATCATTTGAATTTGTTTTAATTATGGTTAACATTTATAAAATTAATTTGTTTTAATTATGTTAAGTTCTTAATAAATTTGAGTATTTTTAATTCAGTTTTAAATAAATATTTTTGTGTAGTACTTAATACTTTTATATTTTTTAATGAAGTTCTTAATTGTTTTTACGTATTAAAAAAACGTGAGTTTAAATTATTCACCTTAAAATTAATAAATCGGATCTGATTTCTATGTCAATGGAGAAGATGCTTTAATGCACTTTCCATTTTTGTATCTTTGTTTGTTTGAGAAACTTTGAAGCCAAGAAGACATCAAGAAAAAATGTGTTTTTTCACGTATGTTATTTTATATTGGATTAAAAAGTTTATACTCCAGAAAAGAAAATTCACGCTATTCTTTACTAAAAGAAAACAAAGAAACTATAAAGTGTAAAAAGAAAGACAACAGAGGTTATAAGTAAGGCCCATATAGCTTAAGAAGTATTAAGGTTATTGCTTCTTGCACTCCAACAATTGCTAACTGCACGCTAACAATACTAACAAAACAAACTTAGGTAATGTTTGGATTGGAGAGATAATTTAAACGAATTTGAAGAATAAAAAAGGGATTTGAAAAGATAGATAAAAGAAAAAATTATATAAAAATTTGTGCACGATACGATGGATATAATAAATTAAAAATATATTTTAATAAATAAAATTAGATAATTATTATTTTACTCTTAAAAATAAATATGATATAAAATTAAATATAAATAGTAAAAATTATGTTAAAATAAAAATAAAATTATCATTTAAAATTATAAAAATATTATTATTATAATCATTACTGATATATATATAATTGATTTTAATCTTTAATAACAAAATATAACACTGATTCATTCTTTGTTATAATTAATTTTAGTATATTTGAATAATTTAGAATTGGTTTTAAAATCAACACAAATAAATTTAGAATGATTCTTGTTCGTAGCACTCTAAAATTGATTTTATGAATATTGCAATTATTCAAAATTTAGTATCTTTTTCCTGTAACATTGGTAAAATCGATTTTTTCTTTTCAACATCATAAAATTTAAAAGACAAATCATTTTCGTTTTTCAATGAATCTTCTATAATATATCCCACATATCTATTATCTGATGCATAGATGAATAAAACTTTCCTTCAACAAATCTATTCTTCTAAATCGTCTCAGATAAGTAGAACCAAATATATCATGAACTCATACATTAATCTTTCCAAAATAGCGTAGAAACAACACAGCCTTAACTATCCTTCACCACCATGCCACACCGCCACACGGTAAAAAAAAAAAGAGAGAAGAGAAAATATAGAAAAAAAAAATCATTTTTATTTGTTAATTATTTCATATGTTTCCGAAATTGTTTTAGAATATATTTCACGAAGGAGTGTATAGAAAACTCATTTTCCACAAGGCATTATATGCATTCTGAAAATTCCATTCCAAAAAATGTAGTCCATAATATAATTCCAAAAGCCAAGTTCTAAAGCATGTAACAATGCATCTTGTATGAGTTTTTCCTGGGTCAGGTGATTCGGTAGAATAATCCAAAGCTTAAAATGATGACAATTATTAATATTAGCCTAACTAACTTAAAATGAAATGGGCATCATAGTAACACAACATGATGTGTTTTTAAATTAGTATTATTGTAACTTAATTAGGATTCATTCATAATATAAAATTGTATATCATAATTCAAATAATAACATTATTGAGTATTATAATATCTATTTTAAAAATCATATGAAAGATTTTTTATTAGTTAATTGCATAAAAAAAATTCCCACCAATAATAATGTAGGGCTATTCACTTTTATGAGTAAACTTATGTAGAAAAGTATTAAATATCGATGAGACTAATTTACTATATATAATATATATATATATATAATATATTATATATATATATATATATAATATATATATATATTATATATATTATATATATATATATTACCAAAACTAAACATAGAGTTCATGTTTGTTTGGAACCGTCACGTGTATAAAAAGACATAGTTGGATCTCAAGAGGTGCCACCGTCCAAAACTCCGCAATGGAAAGATCCGATTTTAATTTTTTTTAGGTTTAATGTCTCAATAGGTCCCTATTTTTTTTCAGAATTTGAAATAGGTCCCTTTATTTTTTGGCGTCTAATTAGGTCCTTATTTTTGTTAATTTGTATGCAAATCAATCCTTTCCGTCAATTTCTCAAACGGCGTTAATGAATGTGTGCGTGGCCTTACACGTGTCAATACTGTCCTCAGGCCACGTCACACCTTCATTAATGTCGTTTGATGAAATCGACGGAAAGGATTTATTTGCATCAAATTAACAAAAAATAAGGACCCAAACGTCAAAAAATAAAGGGACCTATTTCAAATCCTGAACAAAAATAGGGACCTATTGAGACATTAAACCTTTTTTTTTAACTCATTAATAATTAATAATAAATTTAATTTAAATATTTTAAAAAATTAAACAATCTAAATAAATAATTTAAAATAAAATATTAATCGTTCAATAATTATATATTTTTATTTAAGTATACAAAATTATAATTATTTTAAAGCTTATACTTTAATATAATTTATTTTATTTTATTTTTGTAAAGACCAAATTTATTTGTATTAATATTACAGTGCGTAATTTTATTTAATTTATATTTTATTTTATTTGAGTTTATACGTGAGTTTAAATCTTAACCTAACCTTTATTGTTTTATTGTTAGAAAATAGTTTTCATATTTTGTAATAAAAAATAATCTCTAAAAAAATAAATTTCATCTAATTTTGAAAGAAAGAAATCGATAGCGCTTCAGTTGGTGGAGTTAATAAACACATTTTTGTGATGGCTTGAAGAAGGAAACCGGCCCAATGGAAACAAAAAGTCCGTCACTTTTGAATCCACTCTGTATCAAACCCATGAAGCATGAAAAACTTGTGCACACATCGCTAATCACCCTTCATAAAAACATCATTGATTGTTTAGATTTAGATTAGATTGAGTTATTCGGTTTTTCCTAGATAAACTCCAAAGGATGTTTGTTGTGACCAAACATGCAGTCGATGTCCTAGGATAGGAGTACCCGCTTCCTCTTCTACTCTGTCTCGTGTCTTCTCACTATATCAATGAACCTCCTTTTTCCCTCCGCCATTTCCGCTGCAGTCAAACGTAAAACTCTGCATTTTTAATTTTACCCCAATCTACACAACATCCAACAACACACTATAGGATCTTATGCACACACACAAAACACACAGCCGTTTACTGTCTTCTCTTCTCACCTAAACAAATATTGATACAACCTTCTAGTTTTTGTTTTACACACTCACCCAAGTTAAGCATCATGATGTCATTGGTGAAGTACTCGGCATGGTGTCTCACCAACCCTGCTTCCTTAAGTCACACGGTGCCAAGGCCTCAACTCTGCACTTTCCCTTCATTCAACAATGTTCAACACTGCAACCAACTCTCTTTCTCTTCCCTCAAACCTCTTCACATTTCATCCGTTGAGAAGTTTGGTTTGTCAGCAAATCTCGGAAGAAGGGTCACAGACTGCCGGGCCTATGAAGCAGACAGGTCACGGCCACTTGAGCTTAACATTGAGCTTAATGACGAAGGAGAAGGGATTGAAGCAACCCAGAGACTCAAAATTGGTTTGTATTTTGCCACCTGGTGGGCTTTTGAATGTGGTCTTCACATATACACCAAGAAGTTTTCTGGAAATGCCTTTCCTTACCCCTGGCTTATTTCCACTCTGTCCCTTGCCGCTGGCTCTCTCATGATGTTAATCTCATGGGCCACAAGGGTTGCTGATGTTCCCAAAGTTAATCTGGAGTTCTGGAAGGCCCTCTTTCCTGTAATCATTTTCATTTTTCTTTCATTGCTTTTCACAACAAGATTTCATGTTTGGATAAACTTAAGGAGAAAATTAACTTATTTACTCGTAGGTTGCCGTGGCACACACAATTGGGCATGTTGCAGCTACTGTGAGTATAGATCCAAAGTTGCGTAGCTTATCAGTTCCATCGCTACACTGTTCACATCAAAGTAGTAAGCGATCCTGACTTAATCAGTGTTCCTGCGTCGGTATCATACACCGTTCATTGCTGGGGGAAGCATTCCCTGTGCCGGTTTACCTCTCACTGGTTCCAATTATAGGAGGTTGCGCACTTGCTGCTGTGACAGAGCTGAATTTCAACATGATTGGTAAAACTATTTACTGACTGAGTTGATAAGATGAAGATGTTAAATTTGCAACGAGTTGATGGATGTCATGTTTCAGGATTTATGGGCGCTATGATATCCAATTTGGCCTTTGTGTTTCGGAACATATTCTCAAAGAAGGGAATGAAAGGGATGTCTGTTAGTGGAATGAATTACTATGCTTGTCTTTCCATATTATCTCTATTGATTCTCACACCTTTAGCCATTGCCGTGGAGGGCCCAAAGTTGTGGGCTGCAGGCTGGCAAAAAGCCTTGTCTCAGATTGGTCCCAATTTTGTCTGGTAGGTAAACTCTCACCCTATTGTTAATTTATTTTTCTTCTCACCATCCTTTATCTCTTCAAATTGCTGGAACTGTAATTTTAGATTTTTGTCTGTGCTCATGGGTTTAATTTTTATAGGTGGGTAGCTGCTCAGAGTGTGTTTTACCACTTGTACAACCAAGTATCTTACATGTCCCTTGATCAGATTTCTCCCTTAACATTTAGCATAGGGAACACAATGAAGAGAATTTCTGTTATTGTGTCTTCAATCCTTATTTTCCACACACCAATTCAGCCTGTCAATGCTCTTGGTGCAGCCATTGCAATTCTTGGTACATTCCTCTATTCACAGGTACATTTTCGTTTCTATCATTTCTGTTTACTTACACAGCATACTACCTATCTGTTTCAGACTAATTAAAAGTAGTGATGAAGAATTTTCATATCTCTTATACTTAATGTTCTTGCTTTGTGTTCTTCGTTCATGCCCTGACATGTGATTTGGATGAAAGACCAATGACCAGATTATTATTTTTTATGTTTATGTATATTATACTATACAGCTAATAAGTTTGTGTTGATTATTTGAGCAGGCTAAACAGTGACTGAGGTGTAGTTTAGAAGCTGTCATGTGTTACTGAGAAAGCGTATAGAGAGTGGTTGGAGAGGATTTCCATCTACTTTCTTTGAGGTCGAAGTCATAGCATTTCAAATAATCATTTGATCTGGTTTTCAGAGTAGAATGGATGAGTTTTGTTTTTTGTTTCTTCCCGGTTGTGATTTTAAATAATTTGTATATAATATTTCTTCTGGTGCTTTTTAAGTGTCAGTGATGCAAATTTTGTCCTTATTTAACTGTTATTTTTCAGTCTTTGAGACAATGTTTATTATTCCTTTATGATTCATAATTTTATCTTAATTTTTATTTAATTTATGATGTAAAATTGGAAGAGAGTGAATATAAATATTTGATTAGAATCAAGAAAAGTTATTATATTTTTTCTTAAATGACACTCGAAAAGGGATGGAGAGCATAGTACCTATAATAAAATCCTATTTACTTTATAAAATTGTATAGTAGAAATAAATTACGTTTTGAATAATTTTTTATGCAACCATTTATATATAATATAGATATTTCATTGGTAAACATAAGTGGTATCATAAAATATTGGTTACGTGACGTAAATTGAAGTACCATGTATCATAGATAGATTAATAAGAATCATCACATCGATAGGGGATAGATATGAACTTGATTATTTATTGAAGTAAAAATTTATATAATCTTTAAATTTTAATACTAGTATGATTTTTTTTTATCTTATTTTCATTTTTATCGAATGACAAATATTTTCTATCTATATTTATATCCACCTCGTTAGTATTTCAAATATTAATTAATTAATTAATTAATTAATTTTTGTTTTACAAAATATAAAAATTACAACAAAAATACATGATGTTATTAAATGTTTATAAAGAAAGATAATACAATTATCTAAATTTTAGAAACAACGGAATAAAAATCAAATAATTATAAAAATAACTGAAAATAAATTATGAAATTAATGAAAAAAAAAAGTTCATACAAAGAAATATATACTATAAAGAAAATATACTTGTTAGTATATTTTTTCACATATAATCATTTGATTTGTGTATCCAATCTTCAAAGTAAAACATGTTTTAACCTTGGGTATTCTTTAATTGATTACGGTTTAATAATTCAACTCTCTTGTCTTTTATAATAATATGAAAGACACCTAAAAAATATAATAATACAAAATCCGTCCACTTTCATTATTTTTTCCCACCCTGATCCTAAATACGCGCGATTACTTTTATAAAATAATAATAATGATTTATTATTACCTTTATATTATTTTCTTTCCTTGTCAGGATCAATCTAATCTTGAAAATTTTATCATGGATAGGACTCGTGAGTAGTTGGAAGGGTAGGTATTATACACTAATTTTTGGATAATCATGCTTTTACAAGCAATCATATACCAAAATTTTTAACAATAGAGTTTCTGAATATGATAAAAACGTGTGACATTGGCAAGTTCTCTTGTTACTTTCGCCAGTTGTCAAGATCCTTTTATAGCACATTCACATGGAGCAATGAAAAAGTGAATTGTTGACATTACTGAGATTGAAGAAGAAAACTGCCATATTAGGAAGACAATGCAATGGGGTTTTGTGCATTTAAGGAAGGATTGGTTTTGGAGATAATGTTGTTCCTGCTCATGTGCTCTCTGCTGCCAATTTCACTGGGATTAGATGCATCTCCACCTTTTCTCTTTGGCACTGCTTCTTCTTCTTATCAGGTTTGCCATCATCTTCTTGTGTAGTTCTTGGTTTTTCACCAATCACCATTGCCAGATTAATGACCCCATTAACCAAATTCCGAAATACCCTCAAGAACTTAATTCTTTGCATTCTAAACATGGTCTATTTAATACTCTTCATAGTATGAAGGAGCTTATTCTAGTGACGGTAAAGGGTTGAGCAACTGGGATGTCTTCTCTCACACAACAGGTGATCAGACCAAGAAAAAACCAGTTTTTGTATTCCAGTTCTGATTTTATTAATGTTTTACGCATTGTTCAAGCCTCAACTTTCGCAAGTCCATGTACTGCAGGTAGTATAGATGATGGAAGTAATGGTGACGTTGCTGTTGATCAATACCATCGGTATCAGGTAAGTTTCTGTTCAGTTCTATAGATCATGTTCATAAATCCTAGCTATTTCTATATAGGAAGTTTGCATCTACTATGACATATCTGTGACTGTATCATTTAGGAGAAGAAAAAGTAGTTGTTTGGTAAAAGTTCTTTTAGATACCAATGGAAGAGAATGGTTTTCAATCTGTTTAAGTAATAGATGTTCCCAATTTCAACTTGTAATGAAAACAGGAGGATATTGATCTAATGGAAGCTATGAAAGTGAACAGCTACCGGTTTTCAGTATCATGGGCAAGAATTCTACCACGTAAGATTCTTGTTTTAACAAAATCTGCCTGATGTTAGATTAGAAGACACTAAATACTTGTATACGATTGTCAATTGACAAGCAGAATATGCAATGATTGTGAACAGAAGGTAGATTTGGAGAAGTTAACTTGGCGGGCATCAACTACTATAACAGACTTATAGATGCGTTGCTACTCAAAGGTTTCATTTCAATTTTCTTACGCTATTGGCTTGCGAGACACAGTTTCTACTTCTTTGATCTTATATCTGTTCTTAAGTATACAACTCGCAGGTATCCAACCGTTTGTTACATTGTTTCACTTTGACATCCCTCAAGAACTTGAGGACAGATACGGAGCTTGGCTAAGTCCCCAATCACAGTAAGCAAAGCAGCCACTTCTTTAACTTTTTGTCTAGGAGATTTTGACTTTGACTTTGACTTGAAAAAACCGGATAATGGCACTAAACATATTTTGATATTTGCAGGGAAGATTTTCAATTCTTTGCAGATATCTGTTTTAAATCCTTTGGTGACAGAGTCAAGTACTGGGTGACTTTCAATGAGCCAAATTATCTAATCCCACTTGCTTACCGCGAAGGTCAATTTCCACCGTGTCGCTGCTCTCGTAACTTTGGAAATTGCAGTGAGGGAGATTCAGAGAAAGAACCCTTTGTGGTTGCCCATAATATGATCCTATCACATGCAGCTGCAGTTGATCTTTATCGAAACAAATACCAGGTAATTTCATTACAACATCACAGTAGAAACTTTCTCTATCGTAGTATTATTCATTGTAGTATTATTGATGGCATTTCCAGAATGAGCAAGGGGGGAAAATTGGAATAGTCTTACACTGCGACTCGTTTGAGCCATTAAGCAATTCGACAGCAGATAGGTTGGCAACCGAAAGGGCGCAATCATTCAGCATTAATTGGTAAAATTTCCTTGCTGTTTACTGCCGAATACCGATGTTAAAGGCAGTTAGATATTGATATAAAAGGTTATAGTTAGGCACTATGATAGATTGAAACAGATGTTTATAATTTTCAGTACATTTGAATCAATAACAGTAATATTATTGTTCAAAGCTAATTCAACTCCTGGCAAAGCTGGTATGTCATTTGATTCTATAATATAGAATAAGTATTGAACTATAATATTGCAGGATCTTGGATCCAATCTTATTCGGTAAGTACCCAAAAGAGATGGAGATGATTCTAGGAACCATCTTACCTAAATTTTCTAGTAATGACAAAGTAAAACTGAGGAGAGGACTTGATTTTATCGGCATCAATTACTATGCAAGTTATTATGTCCGAGACTGTTTATCATCGGTATGTGGACATGGGAAAGGAGTCTCCAGAACAGAGGGCTTATATGAGCAAACTGTACTAAAAAATGGTGTCCCAATTGGAGAGCTTGTAAGTACTTCAACCCTTTTTTATGATCCTCATCGAAACCTTGCTGATTCTGAAACTTGTATTGTTATGCAGACTCCATTTGAATGGCTCAATGTTCACCCAGAAGGCATGAAGAAAATTCTTATCTATCTAAAAGACAGATATAATAACACTCCAATGTTCATTGCGGAAAATGGTAAGCAAAGCATGTTAACACCTTATATTAAAGTCTCTGAGTGTTTCTAACTACCCAAACTTTTGTAGGATATGGTACTTTGTATGATCCAGATGTTACTGAGAAAGAATATCTGAATGATTATAAGAGAATAGAGTTCATGTCTGGTCACTTGGATAATCTAATGGCAGCAATAAGGTACATAAGAATTGATCGATATTTTTATATAAAAGGAATCAAATAAATCATCGTATTCTTGTTATGCTTATCATCTGTTTTGGTCATGTGAGCAGGGAAGGAGCAGATGTGAGAGGTTACTTTGTTTGGTCCTTGCTCGATAACTTTGAATGGAAATATGGGTTTTCAGTAAGATTTGGACTTTACCACGTCGATTTTGCCACACTGAAGAGAACACCAAAACTATCAGCAAGTTGGTACAAGTTTTTCATTGAAAAGTATATAGCTGACAACACAAAAAGAAGCATTCTCAGAAAAACTGGGGAAGAGAATAATACAAGTACATATACCGAATACAGCAGTAGTTATTAGAGAAGTAATACACTCTTTTCCTTGTTTTACCCTATTGTATGTATTTAATTGGTATCAGTATGAAGTGTATTCTAAGCTATCAAGTTATAGCTCCATTTGAAATTTAGCTATATATATCAAGCTAGAATGTGATAAATTCAAAAAGATATAATGAAGTGTATTCTAAGCTATCAAGTTATAGCTCCACTTTGAAATTTAGCTACATATCAAGCTAGAATGTGATAAATTCAAAAAGATATAAATTGCATGCAATCGATGTAGGGAGGTTCCACACACATACACATAGATTTCCGAAAAGATATTGTCTGCTTTGGCTCAAACCTTCACGTTTCTCATGTCCATCTTTTATTTTAAAGGATTATGACTGAGCCCGGTCACCAGACCTAAACCTGAGATCTGATACCATTTGTAAGGAGGTTCCACACACACATACACATAGATCTCCAAACTGATAAGATATTATTCGCTTTGGGTCAAGCCCTCACAAGGAACAGAAGACTTTAAGGACTTATCCGCGAGGATCTCTTAAAAAGACAATAAAAATAAACCCAGAATATTTTTAGGAGAAGAAGAAAAGAGAAAGAATGAAACTAAGAGAAGAGAGAATGAGAGAAGAATGATTATGATCATAATTTTGGAGTGAATGAAGTACTCTATTTATAGAGTTGGGGAACCAAGCCCATGATCCAAAAGATCCAAAATATCTCCTAAAATATCTATTAGGAAATTGATTTTTTAATAAATTTGGAACATTGCAACTAAAGAGACGTTTGTCGCGTGCATATAAGAAAAATCTCCAAGTCAAAGACTTGCGTTTCAAGCTCATAAAATCTTCCGCATTTTAAGAAACATATCTTTTGCAATTTTATATTAAAAAATAATAACATCTTATATGCATATAAATCCATGTTCATCTCTTATTTTATCTTATATGAGACTTTGTTTGTACCCAAAGATCAATGGATAACAACATCATGGTTGAATAGTCATAAAATAATACTTTACATGCTTTAATATTAAAGAAGAATTATAAATCACATAAAATATCTATCAAAATATATAATAAAGTTGTCATAAAATATTCTTAACATACTATGATCTATTGGAGCTATTGTTGTAATCTTTTGCAGCCTGCTGGTTGTCACAAGGTATGAGATTAGAGACTCTCTGTACACACGGTTACTCAGAATCCTGATGAAACATTAAAATAGGATTCATTCTCCTTGAGCTCCCCGTAATTGTTACATTTCGTCTTGATATCATTTTCAACCATATCACCATTTATTCATAGGTATTTTTATTTAAAATTTATATTTTTATATAAAAATGTTATATTTAAAATGTAAAAACAATATATAATATGTTAAATTGAAATGTTGTTAGTTTAGAAATGTTAAATGATAAATTGAAATGAACTATGCTATAAATAAATAATTTCTTTTATTAAACTTACAATATTTAAATTTTATAAAAATGAATTTGAATAATTTAGAATATGAAAAAATTAATCAAATTAGATACAGGCATTAGTAACCTGTTCAAATAATATTGTGCAATATGTCCATAAGTCATTAAGTAGTCTGATATAACGTGGGTTTGATGAAAGGAAGTGATAGTAATTGATTCATTATTTTGTAATCTTGCAAGTAACATGTTGCGAACGCCGTGTTATGGACATCGAAGTGACGAGTTTCGTTTCATCAGGTTGGGCCTTTGTGAAAGGAGCTCATTTCTTTTTTCTATTGCATGATGAAGTTGATCGTTAATGGAATTCAATTTATTCATTTGTAGGTCATTGATCAAAACATGCAACTTGGTTTTTGCACTTGGCGATGATGGTGTTGAGGGTGTCGAGTATGAGCTGTCGCAATCCATCGGAAGTAAAGTGTAACAAGATGCAGCTTGTTAATAATGAGTCATAATGAAATATTTTGAATTGTTGAATGTAAAACTAACCAAATTGAATTATAAATTATTTAGAACTTATACATATTTGGACATGATGGTAAATTCAAATAAGTTTAGAAAACACACTTCATTACGTTAATAGAAATTTAATAATGTAAATAGAACAACTTTAGAAAATTATTTAAGAGAGTTCACGATTTTGTATTCTTATATAGGTGTTATTGAATCCTTGATTCAATGTTAATTGCCAAATTGGACATGTCATCTTTCACCCTTTATCCTGTTCTGGATGTTTTAAATTCTCTGAAAAAATTGTGATAACTTGTCAGAGTCCCATGACTCTGTCATGTTGTATTGTATCAATTGTTGTTAAATTTATTGTTGTGGTCCAATGTTAGGAACATCTTTTACAATATTTGGAGAGTCTTCATCACTATCATCTTTATCTTGTAGCCTTCTATATTGTTAAATGTCATCAACATTAAAAAGATCCAATTTGGACTATGTTTCACGACCAAATATGTGATTTTATCGTAGTCCAATGAAGAACTATAACCCATATTAACCTCAAAATGAACAAGTATCCTTGTAATCTAGATGGTTTATGGAAGAGACATGTTGTTCCTTTATTTAACCATGTGTGCATATTGTGACATGATCAATTTATGATAATGTTATTTTTCAAACACCATAACATCTTCATGAGTCAGTTTTGTGAAGTTTGTATCTCAAAGGAAAACAAAATATGAACATAGACATAATGTAAGAGTCTGTCACTGATATTTAAGTTTTTCTGCGTTCCTAACCATCCAACCTTACAAGTGTGGTCTAATCATAAGTTTAAAGCTCTACGGTCGTCATAATCCATGTCTTCAAGTATGATTGGAAATTTATATCTTAGATTTCATAGAATCAACCAATAAATAGGAGTGATTTTAATATTTGTGTCTTCACCTCAGTGAATATGTATTAACTAAATTTGGGGTTTGCGTAAAAAACTTTAACGATAAACGATATATCTTCCAACATCTCGTCTTTATACCCTTCATTAGTTCTCTCACATAAATCGTCACCTCCAAATGTCTTCAAATATACTTAAACAAACACACATGAGACACTCACAAATGCGGCTCACATATATGTCTTAACAATGTCATTCATTGAAACAAACGCAATGTAAATGTCCTTCTTTATAATTTTGCTTTTAGTGTATTTAAAAGCTTATCTTAAATTAAAGCTTTTGCTTATTCTTGTAAACGCATAATTCCTTTAACATTTTTATCAGCCCATAACTTGTTTTCGTTAATTGGACAATCAGATGCAGTGTCTCCTCTCTTTAATATTCTGAATCGGTTAAAGATAATAATCTGAATTTAATTTTTCTCAATTATAGTCTCTGTTTGTGTGAAAATCGTGATGAAATCTCAATTTTTAGATGTTGAAACATGTCACTTACCCTTTTTTATACTATTTTAATTTCGGGGTTACCAGGGACATGTATAACACGTTTCTTATAAAGACCCATAAAAAAATAATAGTTTTTGTGCACGCGATGCGCGGGTTTGTAACAATATATGGTGTTTGGCCATGGATGGTTGACGTCGGCGAAGAATCGTAACAAGCAGCAACGGTTGTGATCGAAAATGTCATTCAAAGTTGTTGCGTTTGGGGTGATATTCTTGCTGCATCTGTTAGAACCATTTTCACTTGCAGTTCTCTCAAATGAATTGGATCTGGATCTCTCGTCCTTGCCAACTGGTTTCCTCTTCGGCATTGCTTCTTCCTCTTACCAGGTATCACGTCTCCACCTTCGATCGCAACTAATACACGCATCACGAAATCTAATTTTTGGCAGTTTCCATCCATTTCTCAATATTATTATTACGTTATACTGTTTTACAGTATGAAGGAGCTTACAAGAGTGACGGCAAAGGGATGAGTAACTGGGATAACTTCACTCACGGAACAGGTGTTCAAGTTTTAGCTCATTTTAAGAGATTGGATTGAATTTTGTCACTGTTCTTCCTGAAGTTGCAACTGATCTTATCCACCATGAGTATTTGCAGGTAGATATGTAATATACGACGGAAAAAATGGGGATATTGCCAATGATCATTACCATCGCTACCTGGTATGACATGACACCTTCTTATCCCGTTCTGCCCTCACAATTTTTTTAGTTTTTCTTTAATTTAATCGTACTATTTTTAAAAATATTTAATTTAGTTTTTTTAAAAGAATAGGTTCATTTTTCCTCATGTTTATGAGTACAAACATCAAATTTATTTTTATTATTAGTAATACTAATGATGTGAGTTATTGTTAGAATTTATTTATGTTCACGTCTTTCTCTTTCTATCTTTTAATTCAAAGATGTTGAAAGGTTATCGCCATAATATACATAAAAAATGTATCTGTGACTCGTTGCCTTTTTTTTTACTCTGTTTTGAGGTTCACATATATAAAATAATATTTTCATATAAAATTTAGAAAAAAAGAAGTCATACATGTAAAGTATTGATTAATAAATTTTTAACATTTTTATGTTTTTAAACTTTTCATATTTATATATAACCATATTTTTTAGATCAATTTTAAATTTATTAATTTTAAGTGAATATTAAAATTAGTTTATTTTTAAAATTTTAAACTAATTTAACTTTTACTTTTAAAATTATATAGATTTAGTTATTTTAATCATGTTAAGTTTATATGATGTTTTAAATACGCTTTTTAATTAATATGAAAGTATAAATATATTAAATATGTAACTCAAATGATGGGTTTGAAAGTGAAATAAATTTAACAAAATTTAATTAAAAGAAATATATCCATATATTTATAAAGTTTAGAATTAAATTAGATCAAAATTTAAAAAATGGATTATTTTTAATTTTGGACAAAATATATTTAATGTTTTTTACATTTATATATATATATATATATATAAATTTTATATATTAATACTTTTTTAGACAATTAACAATAATTTAATTAATGAATTAAAATTAAAATTAAAACTTTTTAAACTTTTTTTTTACTTTGATTCGAAGTACCTCCAAAACACAGTATATTCCATTTATACAATTTTTTTACAATTTATTTTATTTTGACAAATTTAAATTGCACTCATTTAGTAAAAAACTCAGCCTGTAAAAATTTAAGGATTGGGTTAATGTTCTTAATTCGTTAAGCCGCTTTGTTCTATCTTATTTAGTGTGCCAAAACAA